ATCAATGGATCCTCTGCAGTGAATGGGTGCCGTCAGAATGAGAGTCCAAACAGCTGATAAAGACTCCTGTCAATTATTACTCAATTGTTGCTTCTGGCTATGAATCTATAATTCATAATAATGCTTCCTCCAGTGAAAAAGTCTCTCCCCGTTGTCCTCTCACATCAAAATCCACGGACTTATTTGTTTAGAACTGTTTTGGACTGTTTACGCTAGTAAACGGTGCTTGATCTGTGCATATTTCTCCTGTCAGATGAGACAACTTGGGTAGAGGACTTGTATTTTAGCCAAAAGCAATGATTTGACATTAAGAGCGTCTTAATGATGGATTTGTTTTTTTACAAACATGTAGCTTACAAACATTACTTGTTGATTATTGTGGTATTTTATCAGCTGTTTGAACTCATTCTGATGCCACCCATTCACTGCAGAGATCCATTGGTGAGGAAGTGATGTAATGCTAAATTTAAAAAATAAAATCAGGAATTACCTAAAATCTAAACTGGGCAGTTGGACGCTTCACTGCAACAGTAGACGTAATAAAAATCTCTCTCGTTCCATCTTAATTTCCAGCATGTGGCACCACAAGAGCTGATAAAGGTTAAGAGTCTAACCGGACAGCTAAAGACAATGGCAACAGCTGCTCTGTTTTGAGGCACTGCTTACCAAATGGTCTCTGCACGTCTGTCTCATAGGAGAGATTGAAGGTTGAATTGCTGCCTGCATTAATGTCCTTGTCATCTTCAGTTTAGAGTTTGTTGTCTGCCGATGAGCAGCAGGAAGACTGACAATTTAATGAACATTGATTGCCTTTTATGCCTGATGTTTCTCTCATTATGTCATTGAGACAAAGCTCAGTACAGGTCAGTCTGATCGCTCTGTGCCGCACAGATGATGATGATAGATCATATCACAGATACACCTTAATTAAGCAGCCTGCGCTCACTCAATATTAGAAGCTAAATCAATACATTTGTATTCCAGAGCGCTAGCCATCCAGGTTAATCGAAATGTTATGACACAAATGTATTATGGGTGCCTCAAGCAAGGCCTGTAACTTGAAATAAACAAATACATAAATGTACTGAAACAAATGCATTCACAGAGGGTCTATTATTTTTATTGAAAATATGTACCAGTTCTATAAAATATTTCTGTAAAAAAAGATATATATTTAAGTTTGGAATCAGTGAGACTTGTAATGTTTTTAAAGGAGTTTCTTATGCTCATCAAGGCTGCATTTATTTGATAAAAAACTGTAATCTTGCAAAATTTTATTACAATATAAAATAATGGTTTCTATTTTAATATCCTTTAAAATATAATTGATTTCTGTGATGCAAAGCTGAATTTCCATCAGCCATTACTCCAGTATAAAGTGTCACAGGATCCTTCAGAAATCATTCTAATATGCTGATTTATTATCAGTGCTGGAAACTGTTGTGCTGCTTAATATTTTTTTGGAACCTGTGATACTTTTTGTCAGGATTCTTTGATGAATAAAAAGTGAAAAAGAAGAGCATTTATTTAAAATATAAATATTTTCTAACAATATACACTACCTTTCAAAAGTTTGGGGTCAGTACATTTTTATTCTTTCTTTTTTTGAAAGAAATTAAAACTTTTATTCAGCAAGGATGTGTTAAGTGATAGCAAAGATTTGTATTGTTAGAAAATATTTATATTTTGAATAAATGCTGTTCTTTTTCACTTTTTATTCATCAAAAAATCCTGAAAAAAGTATCGCAGTTTCCAAAAAAAAATATTTGGCAAAACACCTGTTGCCAACATTGATAATTCTAATAATAAATCAGCATATTAGAATGATTTCTGAAGGATCATGTGACACTTTATACTGGAGTAATGGCTGATGGAAATTCAGCTTTGCATCACAGAAATAAATTATATTATAAAGTATATTAAACCATTATTTTATATTGTAATAACATTTAGCAAGATTACTTTTTTTTCTGTATTTTTGATCAAATACATGCAGCCCTGATGAGCATAAGAGACTTCTTTAAAATGCATTATAAGTCTTACTGATTCCAAACTTTTGAGCGGTATAGTGTATA